TGAAATATAAGACTATGAAAAATACGCTACTACAAAGACTACAAATCCCAAATCCCATTCTGGGTCGCGTAAGTGATGTCACAGGCATGCTCGGTGATTTATAATAAGACTCGTAATTAAAGCGAAGAAGAAGAAAATCTCATAACTGATTTATTCCCTCCAATAAATTATAGATCGCTAAAAATAAATTCACTTTTACAAGATGCCTGTGTGCTTTGTACCAGGTTGTAGTCATAAAAGTGATCATACCACTTCCTCCTTCTATCGATTCCCGTCTGATGAAAGGACCAGGAGTCGCTGGATCAGACATATCAGGTAATATCATAGGTAATATACATGTTGTGCATGTTCATGTGCATAGTCAAGTTAGCTACCTAGCTAGTAGCGACGAGTAGCGAGCACGTTAGTTAGCATTACATTACTTAGCCTTGTCATTTTTAGTAGCCTTACCATGAAGTTATTATTTTATTACATGAAGTAAACCAAAATGTTAAACAGTAACCAAACATGATGGTAAGTATTTCGTGAAACTTTTGAAGAGTAGCCTACTGCGCCCTCCACCGGGTGCTAAGGAAGCAGTTCAGGGAGAGTCGAAGGCAGGCATGGAGCTTTGCATGACATTCTTCTGGACGTGTTTCATTGTGATGACAATCTGTTTGTTGGAAAGACAGTCGTTGTGTGCTTATTGAGAGAAAATTGTTAGAAGAGATAATTATTCAAAGTGTTGTTACTTTAAAGTGTTGTTACTGACCTTTTTCTCTTTTATTTTCTTTACCTCACCTGTAACTGCTGAGACGTTGAGGAACATGCACACTGACCTGCTCTGGCAACCTGACTTCCACTGTACGTAATAGTATTAGGTTATGGTATATTATTTATATACATCAAAGGCACAATGCACCCCCCAGAGACACACATGTATTGAGTGTGATATTTTGCATAGGTCATGTGAAATCATCTTTACATACTAGAAAACTGTAGGAGCGGCAACTTGTTTTGAAATTGAATTTTTAATATCCGATAATAAAGTTGATCTGTTTTCTTTATTCTTCTCTCTTCCCAGCTCCATCACCATTCTCTGTTCCTGCAGGTCCTGCTTGCTAATCAATGCTCATATTTTTTTACACAATTACAAATAAAGTCATTGTATTGTATGACATGAAGTTGTGCTTCATTCGGAGTCAATAATAAATTCATTCTGCCTTCAACTGCGCAATGATTGTGGACTGCACCGACATCCATGTAGCTGCCCCCCAGTAAGATGAACCAAGCAAAGAGGGTCCCTATCATGCCCAAGGACATCCAGCTGGCCCGCCGCATCCGCGGAGAGAGGGCTTAGACTGACCTGAGACCAGCACACCCAAACACAACAGCTCTTTTAAGAGCCACATACATTTTCAAAGAGTTGCAATCCTACGTTATTATAATGATTAAACTGGTTCATGTATCACTTAGTTTACTGAACCGTGATGAATGAAAGAAATTAGTGAGGTAGTGGTTTACTGAAGTTACAAAGACATTAATATATGAGTAACAGGTCAGTGTAAACACAAGCTTCTGTCAATTATGGACCATTCAAACTATTTATATACAAATATGTAATAAAGTTCTAAAACAAGTATTCGGTATATTCCTCGATAGCTTTTGGAGAAGGTTGTTTTTAAGTTTACTAAAATCTATCGTTTCAACTGTTTCACTTTGTAAAAAGGGAACAGGTGAGTAGAGCATCATTGAGTTTCTTATTCTGTCAGTAAATTATCCAAATGAATGTTTTTCATTATTTTAGTCAACCCTAAACAAATTGATTGTACCTTTTAATGATGACCTTACATGGTCGGCAAAGTTAAATTAACTTCAGAAAATCAAATCTGTTCTGAGAAAAAACTAATAAATGTTTAAAGATAGGAACTTGCCATCCCACTGAAAAACAGTCCGTAGAGATTTAAAGGCGTAGTTGTAGTTCAGTCCAACGTTTCATTTGGATTCATTTGACAACAGTCAACTATTTTCATAAAGAACATATATATTTTTCAAAGTCAACTTTATTGTCAATCTTACCCAGTTTGAGAGATCAAAAAGACGTTTAAATAAAATTATACAATTTACAGATATGTATACAAATATATATATCCTATATACACCATCATGTATAATGATGGTGTATGATGTAGAAGGAAGTGTGGTAGATAACAAGTAAATATAGAGTTACATACAGATCCATGTTACAGCAAAAGATGGAATAACTAAGAAGCACGCAGTATAATAATAATTACATGCAACAATTAAATAACTGCTCAGCATCTCCACCACAATCCCAATCTGCTGTGTCCTGTTTTCCTCCCCTCTGCATAACACCCCATCACACATACGAAACACAACGCAGAGTCCGAGGGTGTTAAGAGTATGTTTATTGAAATGTCCTCCTCTCTACTGGCCAACACAGGGAGCATATGCTGGTTGTATAATTGTTCCAGGAGGAGGAGATTTCCATGCCATGCAGGGTCTTTGGGGATGGGGATGATGATCGCCTCCTTCGTGGTCCACACAACAAAATAGCAGAGACTCCGGTCTGTGATATGCAGCTGCCCTTGGACCTGGTGCCAGTATGGGTGATTCTCCTTGAGAATATATGACCCACCCTCCTCACGAAGACAGAAGGATGGTAACTGGACTGCCTCCGCGATGGTCATGTTCCTCTGGCTGTGTGGACACTTCACCTCCAGCAGGGCAGATGGCTCCACAAGTCCATCGGGTGATGCTCCCAGAACACCCGACTCACTCACAAAGAGACCAGACTCGAACACTGTCACTTGATAGGCCTCCACAAAAGCCTTCACCCCTTCGGCCTCGTTTACAACCCCCCAGTTGACAGTTGGCGATGTCTCTGGCCAGTGGGTTGTATGTCTCCTCTCGCTGTTGGTAAAGTTGAGACACCGGCTGGACTACTTTGGAAGTGCCAGGCTTCCTCCACTGGCACTCAACATCTGTGGAGCTGATCTGCCACATGGCAAATATTGCCAATGCTGCAGCGTGGCTGCATCTGTACATCTCCTGTGCACAATCACAGACAGCGCTCTGCATCGCGCCATCGTCTCCCATGCAGATCTGTAAAAATAAAGTAAGTACCATTTGTTAGCATGCTATAATAGATTGAATGAGCAATAATACAAGGATGGTCCGGATCTGGGGGTGGGAGGGTTTATTTTTCCATAGTTTTGTCCTCTTGTCTGTTGTTATTGTTTGTTTTTTCTGTATTTTTTGTAATTTGTGCTGTATTGGTTGTGATTGTACATTGTATTTTTCTAAATGTGTATGAATACATTTTTGAAAAACATTTGATCAACAATAAAAAAGGATTTGGTCAGGATCTAGACTCAGTGTGTAGTTTATTAATTAATCAATGCTCTCTACATTAGGAAAACACATACCGGTGTACCAGAGGGAGTCACACACAGCTGTGCCTAGATAACCAAAATCCTTGAATCTACACACAGCAAATAAAGTCAAATGACACAACGACAAAAAGGAGATCACACATACAGTATAGTCGATATAAAACTGGCCGCTTCAATCTGAAGAGCAACTAAAACAAAACACGGGAGTGTACCTTGTTCTTGTGAACACTAATGTTATCCACAGCATACACAGAGACCACGAAGTTCTTAAGGAGAAAACTAGTTGCTAAAACAAAACACGTTAGTGTACCTTGTTAGCTAATGTTAGCTAGCTGACATTAACGTTACACATTGCACTCATATTACTCACCGAAACCTTGTAAAGCCGGTCCCGCATGCTGGCTCTTACAGAACCGACTAACTCCCCTTTCATATAGGTACAGCTCTCAACGTGCCCAGACTTGTAGTGATTTTCACCTCGTAAAATACTTTTATTCTCATTCTGAAAGAATGTGGTGAAATGTGCTAACGTGACGGCCATCTTTATGTTGGTGACGCGTATTGTGCGAGACGAGAGACCTGTAGTTCACTGAGCGGTTTCACACGAACAAATGTGTAACTTCACAGTTTTACGACACATTTTTATTTTTTTGACTTGCAAAATGTTCTTTTAAATTGACAAACATCATATGTGTCATTCGTGGCACAATTCAAACGGGATCAAAAGATAACCTTTCTCTCTCCATTGACTTCAATGTATAATTTTCCGCTTCCGGGGTCCCATGGAGGCTTTCGGAAGGGGAGGGACTTCGCCTCGAAGCATCAGATCAGTGCATGCACTGCCTCGTCCAATCAGTGAGCGATACACAGTAAGGGGGCGGGGTGAGTATCTGAGGATTTCATCGGAGGATGGTCTGGTGGTTCCTCGGTTATCGCTCCTCCATGATCGCTCCTCGCTCCTCGATCCTCGGTCCTCCGGCAGAAATAAGAGCCATGGGACGGTACTCAAGAATGCGCAGGCAAATCAATTTCCGGTGAGACCGAGGACCGAGGAGCGAGGAAATGAAAATAGTCGACTTGAGAAGCAGCCTTTGTGTGAACTTTTAGCTGTACTATAGATGAGAGTAACACATGCGTCACTTCCGAGCAAAAATGACGGTTCCGCCCACTTTTGAGGGAAAACAACGCTGTCATTTGAATGGCTGTAGTAATACTGCATTTTCTTACCAGACTTAATACAGATTTATCTTATATCTTATTAATGTTTTAGGAAAATGTTGGTACATTTAACAGCATATATAACATGAGTATTTAAAAAAAGTATTACTTATTTTTCCTGTGGCAATTGCAATTGCATGAATATAACTTTATTTGAATATTTTTTTGTCATGTAACCGACTTTATAGGTAAGACAACAATTTAAAAAAAATAAAAGAGTGAAAACACTCGCAATTATATAGATGCATAATATACATTACAAAATATATGAATGAACACATTTGTTTCAGTTTATTCATTTGTATTTCATTTCAGTCGACGCTTACCTTTCCATGGACGCCGGGTGGCGCTGTGTCATCATTTCGCTTGTATTTTGTTCCAGTAGGACTTCCGGGTTCTAATGTTTACAACTGGCAGCAGCGTTGGGATCACAGAGCTGTGTTCCTGGCTCATCAAAATCATATCTATGTTCCAACAACATGTTCTGGAAGTGCTAGGATTTACAGAGTGTGACGGTAGGCTTTAACGCATCACTACAGTAGTCATAACGATGTAACATCTGAACACGTAGCATGCTCATTCAGTATGCTCAGGCTAACAGCTAGCACTAGCTTGTTGACAGTAACAGTGTGTCGTGTTGTCAGAGTGAGAATATTGTGGACGTTCTGTCCATAAGAACCCGGACCCATTTCTACTTTTGGGAAAATTAAGGGGAACATAATTTAGACTAAATAGACCACTTAGAAGACATTTCTGACAAGAACCCCCCCCCCCTAGTGTCAAATATCTGAAATGTGACATATGTCACATTGGGCTTTAATGGTAAAATAACTCTTATTTTTAACTTTAAATTAGTTTGAACATTCTTTGAATTGAAGAATAACAACATATTAACTCAATATAATTGAATCAGCTAAATTAACTGAGCAGATCATAATAATATTTCTAAAGTTTAGGGTTAAAGTCCCGATGTGACACCAGTGTCACAGCGATATTTATCTAATTTGTTTCATGTCAATTTGATCAATACATGTTTCCACAACAGGATAAATGTAATAAAGGACATGTTATGTAAGCATTGTAATTCTTAAATGGCTTGAATTTGACTTTTAGCAACAACAAAAAAGTTTTGAAATGTAGCTCGTTATGTCACATGTGTTAGTCTGGGACATGGACATCTTGGACATGTTGTTATGGGAACACAACATCAAATGTCCTGGACCATGACCCACCAGACTGTTCAGTGTGTGTCACTTAGGGACATCATGAGATAAAATAAAGGCTAAAGCTGTATAAGGAACTTTCCAGAACATTTAAAGTTCATGTGACACCCGTTAAACGGTGGGTTAACTTAAGATACATAGACATTTTATTTTTATTTTATCATAATATATTAGCTATATAATATAATAGCTTATTTGCAACACTGTTCTTGAATGTAGCTCCAATCACTTATTGTGTTTTATTATATATTAATGAAACTAATGGATTTTATGCTAAATATGATCAGCAGACAATAGTGGGGCAGCAAAGAAAACTAGAGAATGCAATTCCTGAATAAATTGCTAGTGGGAATGCTTTATGCTGAAAAGCTGACGCTAAACTGCTATGCTGAAATGTAATGTGTAAGAAGAAAGTGAATAATTTAGACTGAAATGATACATGAACACTGGCGGCTTGAATGTGTGATAAGAGAAGAAAAGAAAGTAAAAAAGGCTTGGAAAAGCAGCAGAATATTTGAACTGCAAACTTTTGAACTAACTTGTTTGTTTGTAGCCTATATTTAACCAGGTGAAAGCCCCTTGAGATCAAAAAATCTCTTTTTCAAGGGTGACCTGCAAAACTTGATGGTGAATGATCTGTCACCATGGCAACGGTATTTGATGACACCCCATAATACTCTTAGATGTGTTGATGGCTGCATTGTTACCAAACCTGTGAAGTTTTGGGCCATTTGGAGCATTTTCACTGAAGTTATGAGAAAACCGTGTTTCATGGCGAGCATTGTGTTGCCATGGCAACGGCATTTGAAGAAATCTCAAAACTGTCCTGTAGATGTCTTCACGGCTGGACTGTTAGCACACATGTGAAGTTTGAGCACTTTTTGACCATTTTCATAGTTCAGAGTTCAGTATCGTGTTTTATTGAAAGGGATGTGTTGCCATGGCAACAGCTTTTGAGGAAAACTCACTATTGGCACATAGACCATTAACCATTATCTGAAGTCTGGTGCTGTTTTGACCCTTTTCATAGACGTTACGACAACATCGTGTTTTTTGGCGAGGAAACGGCATATGGTGAGATGTCAGATTTGACGTAGAGCTGTTGAGGCATGGAGAGGTGATATACAGGTGAAGATTGGGGGACGATCGGACCGTGTCCATTGGAGCTACAGCGACATCGTGTTTTTTGGCGAGGGATAAGTTTCCATGGAAACAGCCTATGGTGAGATCTCAGATTTGCCATAGAGCTGTTGAGGCATGGACCGGTGATATACAAGTGAACATTGGGGGACGATCGGACCGTGTCCGATAGCAATATCGTGTTTTATGGTGAGGCATGCCATAAACATGACATGTTATACAATATGACATCCTCGTGGATTCATCTTCTTATTACAGACACATGCATTTCCTAACATTCGGTCTATATGCTGTAAAATGTATTATCTCTTCGATTTACACACGGCATCTATTGCACGTCTGTCTGTCCTGGGAGAGGGATCCCTGTTGCTCTCCCTGAGGTTTCTCCCATTTTTAAACTGTGGGTTTTTCTCTGGAAGTTTTTCCTTGTACGATGTGAGGGTCTAAGGATAGAGGGTGTCGTTTTTCTCATACTGATATTCTGAACAATCTGTGCTGTTGTATTTGCTGTAAAGTGTCTCTACTGTAGGCTATTTTTATTTTATGTACAGCACTTTGGCTCGACCAAAAATCGTTTATAAATGTGCTATATAAATAAAACTTGATTTGATACGTTACCATGGTAACACCACATTATGTAACATCAGATTTGAGCTGTTCAGGGCCACAGTGTTAACCATCATGTTATGTTTGGTGGCGTTCTGAGCATGTCGGTATCTCCAACATACAGGTGTTTATGTTTGAGGTAACAAGGTTATGAAACACCTGTGCTTGAGTCCAGAGATCAAAGGTTTCCATGGTGATGTGCAGTAATCAGTGAGAGGAGAGCCTTTCCATTGTTCTGAATGAGAGATAAACCTCTTACATGTGAACGTTTTGTTGAAGAACCGTAACAGATATCGGTGAAATTTCAACGTGGAAGCATGTCAAGGACCCTGAGCGTCTGAAGTGTACTTTTTGTGTATTTTCGGGTCCATAATGTGGCCTTTTTGGCAGATTAACTAAAGGTGTGCGGCCGCTGCTGTGAGGAAAGATCAGGCTGAACTTACAATGGGCCTTAATGGAGACATGTTGAACGTTTTTGTCACTTCATGCCCTCAAGAGACATTTTGTTTAATTATTTTGCTTAAAAAATTATTTTCCAATCTAGGTTTGAACATTTTGAAAATCTGAGGTTTTCCTACATTTTTCATGAAAAATTATGTCTCAGGAGTGTAGGGTTTGGGAATTGTGGCAGGTTTATGAAGATATGAAGGCGAATTTCAAGCTGTCCCCCACTCTAGCTGTGACATCACGCACTCTAGCCTCAGCGACCTTGGGTCCCTTGAAAGGCGCTATATAAATATCATTTATTATTATTATTAGCCTTAACGAGCTGCGCAATACACACTAATGTTAAAATCTGAAGAAGGCCTCTTTACCAAGGTCTGAACAATGTTTAATATCTCTAAAAGTATGAATCTGATTTAAAAGTTGTGTAACACAAATAATGTCAGAAAGATGTGTAACATTTTAAAGTTGGAATGAGGTTTTTGAGTGAAAGTATGAAGGAACAGTTAGCAGTTGAAGTCACATGAAGATTTTTCAAGTCTGAAGAGTTTTTCCATTGACTTCCTTGTTAAAAATGTGATGAATTATATCCCTGGAATTATGAAAGTTATGAATGAGAAAAGTAATAGCCATCGATTCCCGATCGACCTGAACGTTTTGATGTTTGAATGGAGTTTCTGCGATGTGGGAGCAGAAGAGGCGCAAAATTACCCGAATAAGAATAAAGAATTTGTGCGTAGAAGAATGCTGTATCAGCATTCCCACTAAATGATTCAGATTTTATATGATTGAATTCTACTGGTTATTGCAAAAATAATACATTGGTAACTCAATTGCATGAATGCTTGGTATGGAAAAACATCCTACTCAGATCCTTTACTGAAGCTAAAGTCCTAATACCACTGTCTAAATATACTCCATTACAAGTAAACATGTTATGTTACTTGTGTAAAAAGTAACTGGTAACTCCAAATGACAAATAAATGAGGTGGAGTCAAAAGGACAATATTTCCCTTTGAGATGTGGTGGAGAAAAAGTCTAAAAAGTCTGCTGACTTACCTTATCTTTCTTACAGTGCAGACGCTTTTTCTGCTTGCTCCTGCCTCTGCTTACTTTTTATGCTGATTTTTCTATTCTTATTCTCTGAAAACTTCGAGCAGCGGCTCCTGGACATTAACTTATCACTGGGACAGTTCATCTTCGTAAATAGAGGGAGGGTTTCAGCCATATTTCATCATTTTTACGACGACCTCAGTCTTACAGTAGCGTGGCCTAGCAACAGCTAAAGCCTGGTAGGCTACTGCATGCTATTTAGCTTAAGCTAGTTAGTAGCAAAATGCCTCCGTTCTCTACGGATGACTTCCAAAAACGTATACAGAAGATGGCTGTGTTGGAAATGAAAATGCAACGGTTGGAAGTTAACGTGGAAGTGAATGGACTATGTTGTGGGAATGACACCACTTTACCTGTGTTGCAAAATAATGGAGAAGGGTATGCTAACTCACAGCTAGTTAGCAGCTACAAGGATTCCAAGGAACAGGAGGGCTGTGTACCGGGTAATACATCTACAAGTGGTAGTCCTCCCTGGAACTCTCTGGGTGCAAAGCCTAAGAGTAAATCATTTCCATGGGATTTGGGAGGACGGATAACAGGCAGAGCCCAGCGCTCAGAAATCTGTGATGCGACCGGCTGGCCTGCATTGTTATCACCCAGGAAGAGCGCCTCTTCAACCCCTATTCATACTAGGAAACAGCCGTGGACAGCTGCTAAAGGGAGAACTACAAAAAATCTTCCTAAACCACCAAGTGTGCCAATCCAGAACAGATACGCTCCGCTGACCGAGAACCGGAGATCTGATGACCTGGATAACCTGTCCTCTTCACACAGCAGGGTAATGACCAATAGCTACTCCAAAAGTAAAAGGCTAGAGGGAAAGCTAACGACTGGGCCTGAAACTCTGATTGTGGGTGACTCTGCTGTAAGAGATGTAAAAGGTCTGTGTAGTAAGAACAACACCAAAGTACTCTGTTTTCCCAAGGATGTGGTCTCTGACTTGGCTGAGAAGATCCTGCATATTGGGGCTGAACATCCGACTGTGAAGAATGTGGTACTACACATTGGAACAAATTATGTTGTGAAACAACAGTCAGAAGTGCTGAAAGAAGACTTTAAATGTTTGTTGGAAACTGCCAGCTCTCTAAATGCAGAGGTGTTCATCAGTGGCCCTCTACCGCCAGGCAGAAGAGGAGTGGAGAGATTCAGCAGATTGTTTGCACTGAACACCTGGCTTTCAACGGCCTGTACTGACCATTCTGTTCATTTTATTGACAATTTTAACTTTTTCTGGGATCGCAGACATCTTTTCAAGGCAAATGGAGTTTGTCTGAACAAGTCAGGAGTGAAATTGTTTATCTCTAACATATTCAACTGCCTGCGTCATCAATCTGTTCCCTCTGCCAAGGACAAGCGGCAAGAGGAATCAAAACAGGAGAAAGACACAACACATCGCGCAGAAAACCCTGAAGAATTATCACTGCACCCGCCGGAGGAATGTTCTGATTATGGGAGACACATGGAGGAGTCTCCACTGCCCGTCACCCCCCCCCCCCCCCTGTCAACGCCTTTGAGGATACTCCATTCACCCTTTCACCCTCGCCCACCCTCCTGGAGATCCACACAAGGAGATACAGAGGGTTGGCACCGATTCCTTCCTGGAGTTCAAAGACCAAACTAAGGCGATACGCAGGGCTGGCACCATGTCCTTTACCCCCGCTCCTCAACGACGCCCACCAAAATCACCGCGGAGACGCGCACCATCTCCCCCGTCTTCATCACCGCGCCTACGTCAACCACCTCCCCCCCTGGCAGCATGTCCTCTACCCCCGCACCATCTCCCCCGTCTCCATCACCGTGCCTACGTCAACCACCTCCCCTCCCTTCAAGAAAGCATCTGCAGTCTCCGAAGCCTGATAAGAATGTGTGTGTACAAAACACAACAAACTCTTACTGATATGTGCTGGGTCCAGGCTCAAGGGCGTATGGCACTCTCAACTCTTTCTAGGACATGCCGGGGCCCTGCCTGCCAGTAGCTTTGCCGATATCTGTGTTGATAGGTAATAGATTAAGAGCGGTGAATCATCTTAGAAACAGGAAGCGCTCAAACGTTTGTGTGAGTTTATCTAATTTAGCAGTGATTCCATGTCAGCCACAGCTTGTTACAAAAAACATGACTGATAGTGTGTTTAACAAACTTAAACTAGCTTTATTAAATGTCTTTGGCAGGAAAAACATTTTTAATCAATGATTTTATCACTGAGCACAATCTTGATTTTATGTTTTTAACGGAAACATGGATTGAACAAAATAACAGTGCAGCTGTTCTTATCGAATCAACCCCTCCCAACTTTAGTTTTATGAGTCAGGAAAGAATGCATAAGAAAGGGGGTGGAGTTGCTATTCTGTTCAATGATTCCCTTCAATGCAGGAAGACATCGTATGGAAACTTTGATTCTTTTGAATATGTGGCCCTTCAGCTGAAATGCTCCTCTCGAGCTCTGTTCCTAAATATCTATAGACCACACCCAAATACTGTGCAAGCTTTTTTGATGACTTTACTGAACTGCTGTCTATAGTGTGTATTGACTTTGACCGTCTAGTCATTGTTGGTGATTTTAACATCCATGTTGACGACCCCCAGGACAGAGGGGCTAAAGAACTGTTTTGTGTTCTTGATAGCTATGGACTGACTCAGCATGTGACGGAGCCCACGCACAATAAGGGGCACACTCTGGACTTAATTATCTCAAAGGGTCTGAATATCTCTAAGGTTGTGGTGACTGATGTTGCACTCTCTGACCATTCCTGTGTTTTCTTTGAGAGCTCTATTTCTGTTCACAAAAATGTTCAAAAAGAGGTAACCACAAAGCGATATTTAACTAAAAATACTAGGGAAATGTTTACTCAGAATTTCTCTTCCACACTTGCCCCTGCTAACATCTCAGTAAATGAGCTAGTAGATCATTTTAATTCAAAAATTAAAAATGTTATAGATGCCATTGTTCCAACTAAGGTAAAGGAAGTGTCTGGCAAAAAAATATCTCCATGGAGAAAGGCCATGACCGTGAAAACAGAAAAAAGAGAATGTCGAAAAGCTGAACGCAGGTGGCGAAAAACAAATCTCCAGGTGCACTTTGAAATCTATAAAGAGAGACTTGGCCTTTATAATTTGGAATTGAAAACGCACGACAATCGTTCTTCTCTGACATCATTACCAAAAACAAAAACAACACACGTGCCTTGTTTGCTACCGTCGACAGACTAACTAACCCCCCAGTGTCAGTAGCCTCTGAATTTCTATCCACCAGGGCGTGCAATGATTTTGCCTTTTTCACTGACAAAATTCAGAAAATCAGACAAGCAGTCAGTGCCTCTGCATCAGGAACAGCAAATGTGTTGTCCCTATGTCCATCTAACATCAATTCAAACACCATGACACAATTCCATCAGATTAATGATAAAAACCTAGAGGACATTATTCAACTTCTGAAATCCTCCTCTTGCTGCCCTGATATTATTCCAACAGGATTTTTTAAAGATGTTTCGCCTTGCATGGCCTCAGATCTACTTCATATAGTAAACAAATCTCTTCACTCAGGTATTTTTCCACAGGCCCTGAAAACTGCAGTCATTAAACCGCTCTTAAAAAAGAATAATCTAGATGCTTCAGTAATGAACAATTACAGGCCCATATCAAACCTCCCATTTCTAGGTAAAATCATTGAAAAAGTTGTTTTTCAACAGTTGAGTAATTTCTTGCATTTAAATAACTGTTTCGATGTGTTCCAGTCAGGCTTTCGTCCAAACCACAGCACTGAGACTGCTCTTGTAAAGGTCTTTAATGACATCCACTTAAACACAGACAGTGGCAGAACTTCAGTGTTAGTATGATTAGATCTCAGTGCTGCGTTTGACACTGTTGACCACAACATATTACTAGACCGACTGGAAAACTGGGTGGGACTTTCGGAAACAGTTCTAAATTGGTTTGAATCCTACTTAAAGGACAGAAACAACTTTGTTCCTATAGGTAAATACACATCTGAGTTGACAAATATGACATGTGGGGTTCCTCAAGGCTCCATCTTGGGGCCTCTTCTCTTTAACATCTACATGCTACCACTGGCTCAGATAATGAAAAACAACTAAATAAGTTATCATAGCTATGCAGATGACACACAAATGTACGTAACAATTTCACCAGGAGACTATGCTCCAATTCAAACACTGAGTAAGTGCATTGAACAAATCAATGACTGGATGTGTCAGAACTTTCTCCAATTAAACAAAGATAAAACTGAGGTAATGGTTTTTGGAGCCAAGTCAGAACGTATAAAAGTTAGCGCTGAGCTTCAGTGTGCAATGTTCAAAACAACAGATAAAGCCAGAAATCTAGGTGTAGTCATGGACTCTGACCTGAGTTTCAACAGTCACATTAAAACTGTTACTAAATCAGCCTACTATCACCTAAAGAATATATCTAGGATTAAAAGACTAAAGTCACAGCAGGATTTGGAAAAACTTGTCCATGCTTTTATCTTCAGTAGACTCGACTACTGCAATGGTGTCTTCACAGGTCTCACTAAAAAATCTATTAGAAAGCTGCAGCTGATTCAGAACGCTGCTGCTCGAGTCCTCACTAACACTAAGAAAGTGGATCACATCACTCCAGTTCTGAAGTCTTTACACTGGCTTCCTGTGTGTCAAAGAATAGATTTCAAAATACTGCTGCTGGTTTATAAAGCACTGAATGGTTTAGGCCCAAAATACATTTCTGACCTCCTGCTAAATGATGAACCATCCAGATCTCTCAGGTCTTCAGGGACTGGTCAGCTTTCTGTCCCCAGAGTCAGAACTAAACATGGAGAAGCAGCGTTCAGTTATTATGCTCCAAATATCTGGAACAAACTCCCAGAAACCTGCAGGTCCGCTGCAACTCTGACTACTTTTAAATCCAGGCTGAAGACTTTTCTTTTTGTCGCTGCTTTTAATTGAACTATTCATATCTTAGACAGCACTGTAACTTTTATCCATGTACTTTTTCTTTTAATGTTTAATTTATTAGCTTTTCTTTTTAATGACTGATTTTAATTGCCATTTTATTAATGTCTTTCATTTTTTGTAAAGCATTTTGAATTGCCTTGCGTTGAAAAGTGCTATATAAATAAACTTGCCTTGCCTTGCCTAAATGGGCAGAAATGGAAGTACTCAAGTAAAGTATAAGTACCTCAAATTGATACTTAGTACAGTACTTGTGTAAATGTACCTGGTTACATTCCACCACTGCATATGTTGGTGCACAGAAGGCTGGGTAAAAAAGGAGCTTTCTATAGGACAGATGTAATATTTTGCACATAATAATTCAAACAACATGAACAGTCATTTTAGGATATATTACACAAGAATAGATATGACCAAGTTTAACTTATTATATCTTCATTTTATCACATCTATTTGTCACAGGCTGCAGGGCTCCATCATCAGGATCTGCTGCTGAGATTCCAAGAATCGATAAACTATGAAGAAAAGTAGACGTCCAAGGCCATCGCAGAGCAGCGGGACGCAGACGAGCGTCACTGAGGAGAAGAAGCCGTCTGGAAACAGAGGCCGACCTAAGAAGACCGTCCCTGTTACCACTGACAACCTTTACCATGACGACGCAGAAAAAGACAACATGGCTGACTTAGACTGCAGTGTGAACGCAGCTGTCGACACACAGAAACCTCCAGAGGGCAAGACCAGAGCCGCAGGTCAGTGTCCCGGGAGAATGGAGGGATGCTTTATTCATCCAAAGTTGGGAAATTGTTTTGTCACAACAGCATTGCTAAAAGTCATAACAAAATAATAGAATAAAATAAAAAAAGAATACAAAATAAATTGTATCAATAGAGTATCTTAAGAATACACAATATAAAATATGCAATATACATTTGAATACTGCATAAAAGACCAATCTACGACAGAAACAGAAACATATAGATGTAATTGGGTTTGGTCACATAGAAGTCACCAAAATAATATATTTAATACAAATGCAGTTAGGTGCTTTGCTTATCAGAAAACATCTTCTTGGATAGTTCTGCTGTCCATAAAATCAGTTGGTCGTCACAAAGTGGAAGTCTATTTTATTCTCCTGCTTATTGGATCAGATCTATGATGATATGACTGTCTTATAGGTTCTAAGCTATGTAAACATGTCTGACAAAAACAAAGCCCGGTTTGATTTGCAGTTTATTTAATGGTGTCCTCTGCGTTTAGCTAGAAGTGACTTATATTCAAGGTCCTTACTTGGATATATTTCCTTTAGATAGGCTCGGGGAGTAATGGATTACATGCAAAAAGATTATGTAATTAGTATACAATCTATTCCATTACAGTAACATTTTTTTTTTTTTTTATTGTAATCTTCTAAAACGTAGCATTTTCTGTCAACTCAGATTTAAATTCTGCTCATGTTCTGTATAGGCTACTGCGTGAATATGCTTCATGAAATGAAGAAAAAGAAAGTAATCAGGTTACATTACATTTATATTGTGATAATTAGTTTGGCTACTGACTACATTTTTAGTACAGGTCATTAGTAATTGTTTCAGAATACATTTTTAAAGTAACCCTCCAATCAAGCGTCCAGATTTGCATCATGAGGGACAGTTTAATAAGAACCTCTGCTGTGTGTTCTCCATCAGGTCGCCTGTCCACCGCCCTCTGCCGGCTCTGCCACGGGAAGTTCTCTCTGCGCAGCCTGCGGCACGCCTTCAACAGGAGGCCCCGGGGGGCCGCGGATATTACTGACGATGAGCCGACGTCCCTCCTCTTATTCCACACAGACTTCCAGCGACTGGTGGGGGTCCAGTTGGATCGCGACCCCCGATTATCAGAGTTCATTTGCAAGAAATGCCACTCCAAGTTCTACAAGTGCCACAGCATCCTGATCCGGTTCCTGCAGAGAGTCAACCTCCCACCGGTCGGGAAAGAGAACCTGAAGAGCTGGTGAGTCTGAGAAGAGGACGCTTCTAACAGACGCATTATCTTTCAGTGCGTTTGTTATTATTAAAGTTGTGACGACTTGTCTGCTTTCAGATCATGTGGTGATGTTGTGCGACTCATAGCATTTGTAAAATTCATACCACACGTTAAGAAAACAGGACAACAGTCAAACAAATCAAAAGAGGCAAAACTCAAATAAAATAATAAACAACTAAGATCACCTTTCTGTCTTCTACGTTGTGTAATATAAATGAACGCTTTAAAACTGTATCTTGATGGCGTCTTCACACACTCTGTGTCTCTTAAAAGGCTGGTGGGAAATGTAGTATTTTATAGTCTCTTGACTACAGAGGTCACAATTACATGACTATATTTCTGTATCATTTTTACAAAACAAAGGACTGGCTCTAACAAACAGTCTGGCCAAGTGTGACTATATTATAAGAATCTCTGTTGTTCAAGCATAAACATCTACAAATATGAGCTACTGCCTGGTTCCTTTTTCAGGAAGAAGTGTCCAGAAGCCTCAGTAAACCATGTCCCGATAAGTAAGTAAAAGCATTTCTTCTTTGGTTGTTCTTACAGAAATGAGATAAAACGCAGGTGGACTGATCTCCTTTATCTGTTGCTGTTCCCCTTTAGCTCCTCACTCCTTCACCTCAGACCCTCAGTGCCTCCACAGCCTCGTGTCCTGGGCCCACCATCACGGGGGGGCCTGCCGCTCCTGTCCCGACCTGAAGGAGGTGCTGGAGGGCCGGGGCTGGGGCTCTGTTCAGGCCGCCTGGGGGTGTGTTGATGGTCACAGATATATCATGGACACTCAGTGCACCCCAGCTGCACAACCATTCTCTATGAACTCATGCAGTGGGAGGGACAATGGAGAGGGAGGGGTGTCTTGGGAGGAGGAACAGGAGGAGGAAGAGGAGGGGCGCAGCGGGAATGTGAGGACAGCATCGGGGAGTGTGAGCACTTTAGCTCAGCACAGTCCGGACTGGACCTGCAACCCTGAAGGTGAGACTGCTACAGCTGTTACTGGTGTGTCCAATAACAATAATCATTCCTGGATAGCTCAAGAGAAAGCCTGGAGCTTGAGATTTTAAGTGGTTAGTTGCAAGAAATCCTCAGTCTTCTGATACAATCTCTTCATATAGTCACAGATATTACACAACCCTTCATCATTCACTTATTGACTCTAAATCTGTTCTTTGTCTTCTAATTTATTTAGGTTTTGTAGTCATACTTTTTAGCTTGCTGCAGCAGGGTCATCATGTTCTGATGTCACCACATTTTTGTATGTCTTAGAAATCCAGCAGTGGCTTCAAAGTAGACAACAGTGTACGTGCTGAAGTGAAGTCTGCATGAGAGGATAGACATGTTTACTAAAAAACACTCAATACAAGAAATTCATTCATATACTAGTCCCCAGAGGGGTAAGAGAGGAGCGAGCAGGATGGTGTTGGTGATATTCTGAGGATGTTATCAATGTGATGCTAATCACCCACACGTGAGTTATGAGTGACATGTCCAGCCCTTTGGTTTATGACCAAATGCAAATAGAATGAAGTAAAACAGCCTTTTCCACAGCAGAAAGAATACATATTAATGCTGGGCATCAATCATTCTGTGTCTTTAATATTTCACTGTTATCGTACAGTAGATCCCCTCAGTACTCTCAGATCTTTTGTAGCTGTACATTACTTGATTTATTTCCTGGGATGTTGAACTGTCAGTTTCAAATCATTCTTTAGAGATACCATACCAATAATAACCTGCTTCCCATTGCCAATGACGATTGGATTACTGATTATTTCACGAATCCCATTCTTAAAACTACTTATTAATTTTGTTATGTATATCTTGGTTTATTCACGTAAATGAGTTGCAGGATATGAAAGGTTTGTGAAACTCTGGCATAGATTTGCGCAGATGTAATTTGTTACCATCTAATATGTAATATACCATCTCATCACTGAGCCTTCTCTAAATGTCCCGCTGGTTTGTCCTGTTGTGTTTTCCTCTATCAGACTTCACAGGTCATGACGAAGCGTTGTCCCCTGCTGTGGCCCCACTGGAGGACAGGGCCCCCGACAGTGATCTGTCTGACAGGTGAGTCCCTCTGGGTTCCTTTCCCAAACCTCAATATCTGCACTTCTCTGCCTTTTAAGTGATATGTTGCAATGATGGAAGGTCTTAACCTCTACACTTTAACTGTGTGTGTGTGTGTGTGTGTGTGTGTGTGTGTGTGTGTGTGTGTGTGTGTGTGTGTGTGTGTGTGTGTGTGTGTGTGTGTGTGTGTGTGTGTGTGTGTGTGTGTGTGTGTGTGTGTGTGTGTGTGTGTGTGTGTGTGTGTGTGTGTGTGTGTGTGTGAAGGGTGATCTCCGAGGATGACCTTGAGGAGAGTAGGAGAGGGCGGTTATCTGACGATGAGTTTGAACCAGACAAAAGGTGGGTGCAGATATTCTTCAGTTTCTTCTCAAACAGCAGAGACAGACTGCAGGTGACTTCAGACAGGAGCAGGTTACAGTGTTTAGTGAAGCTTTCCTCCCCCCCCAGGGTGAGCGTCCCCAACAAGAGAAGAAGGAGCCCGAAGGCCCAGGAGGAGCCCAAAGTTAGAAAAAAACCTGGACCCAAACCCGGCTGGAAGAACAAGTTGAAACCTAAAGCGTACGTACACGTCTATATTTCTTTATACACAACCTCCATTCAGCATCATTTATTTAATGTGTAGTTTATGGGAAGTTGTACCATGGTGTTTCAGGGCCATTGTATGTTAGAGGCCATTCAATGCAAGAGGGTCATATTACAAGAAAAAACCTTGAATATTCCTTAGAGATAATAACAGATACAACATGTAGATGTATCTTTATGGACCTTTGTCTCACTGCAGGTAACCCTAACCATTATGACACTGCTTTAGGCACAACTCAATTCAGACGGCAGCGTCTTGCAAATGTTTGACTTCATAAACTGAGAATATGCACTTTTTAATGTACTACTTTAATTTCAGGGAATATTTAAAAAAGAGAAATGTATGAACCAACTCAATCAATCTTGGAAATTTCCCATTTAGATCTTGGAAATTCTGAATTTAAATCTATTCTGGTTTATGAATCATTATAATTTGTTTACCAATTTGGCCCTAATGCTTTGTGGTGAAGCTGTAGGTTTGTATAGTTTTTAAGAGGTCTTATTCCTGTTTAGTTACAGTTCACCTCAGTAAACTTTGACAAGGTTGTTCAGCATGCATCGATCACACTACCTTTGTGTTTTTATTTTCAGAGAGGAGCTGCCTAACATCTACAAGTGTCCGTATCAGGGCTGCACCGCCGTCTACAGAGCTCCTGATGGTTTGAAGGTCACATTTCAAAACTATGACATCATTTCACTGTTATTAAACGGATTCAGTAATTGGATCAATAATGGTGTATATCAATCCAGAAATGCTTCAGGACTTAGTATTTCAGTCCTTTAGTTCTTCTCCATATTCTGTATAAAGTTTCAATGTGCTTTGCTTTGACTGTTAATGGACTGAATTTCCTATTGGGGGGGTTTAGAAGCACATCAAGGAGCATCACGAGGAGATGAAGGAGCGGCCCTGCCCTCACCCCGGCTGCAACAAGGTGTTCATGATCGACCGCTACCTGCAGCGCCACGTCAAGCTCATCCACACCGGTGAGGGGATCACTGGGGTCTGTTTTCAGCGGCTCCTTTGTTTACTTACATAACATGTAACACTGATTCTATTGGCTAGCACTCCAACACATTGTATGTGATAGGCAAAGGGGCGGGATATCTTTAAGGTGTTGACCAATCACAATAGAGCCAGCCAGCTAACCAATCAGAGCAGACTGGGCTCTGGTTTCAGACAGAGGGTGAAAAGAGATGCTGCAGCACAGGCAGTATGAGAGAAATAAAGAGCTTTTTGAACATTAAAGCATGGAGACATGTAGAGACACTACATACTGATATACACCTGAACATCAGCAGGAGAGGACTCTTTAAAGTAGAGACACTACATACTGATATACACCTGAACATCAGCAGGAGAGGACTCTTTAAAGTAGAGACACTACATACTGATATACACCTGAACATCAGCAGGAGAGGACTCTTTAAAGTAGAGACACTACATACTGATATACACCTGAACATCAGCAGGAGAGGACTCTTTAAAGTAGAGACACTACATACTGATATACACCTGAACATCAGCAGGAGAGGACTCTTTAAAGTAGAGACACTACATACTGATATACACCTGAAGATCAGCAGGAGAGGACTCTTTAAAGTAGAGACACTACATACTGATATACACCTGAACATCAGCAGGAGAGGACTCTTTAAAGTAGAGACACTACATACTGATATACACCTGAACATCAGCAGGAGAGGACTCTTTAAAGTAGAGACACTAAATACTGATATAAACCTGAACATCAGCAGGAGAGGACTCTTTAAAGTAGAGACACTACATACTGATATACACCTGAACATCAGCAGGAGGACTCTTTAAAGTAGAGTCACTACATACTGATATACACCTGAACATCAGCAGGAGAGGACTCTTTCAAGTAGAGACACTACATACTGATATACACCTGAACATCAGCAGGAGGACTCTTTAAAGTAGAGTCACTACATACTGATATACACCTGAACATCAGCAGGAGAGGACTCTTTAAAGTAGAGACACTACATACTGATATACACCTGAACATCAGCAGGAGAGGACTCTTTAAAGTAGAGACACTACATACTGATATACACCTGAAGATCAGCAGGAGAGGACTCTTTAAAGTAGAGACACTACATACTGATATACACCTGAACATCAGCAGGAGAGGACTCTTTAAAGTAGAGACACTACATACTGATATACACCTGAACATCAGCAGGAGAGGACTCTTTAAAGTAGAGACACTAAATACTGATATAAACCTGAACATCAGCAGGAGAGGACTCTTTAAAGTAGAGACACTACATACTGATATACACCCTGAACATCAGCAGGAGGACCTCTTTAAAGTAGAGTCACTACATACTGATATACACCTGAACATCAGCAGGAGAGGACTCTTTAAAGTAGAGACACTACATACTGATATACACCTGAACATCAGCAGGAGAGGACTCTTTCAAGTAGAGACACTACATACTGATATACACCTGAACATCAGCAGGAGGACTCTTTAAAGTAGAGTCACTACATACTGATATACACCTGAACATCAGCAGGAGAGGACTCTTTAAAGTAGAGACACTACATACTGATATACACCTGAACATCAGCAGGAGAGGACTCTTTCAAGTAGAGACACTACATACTGATATACACCTGAACATCAGCAGGAGAGGACTCTTTAAAGTAGAGACACTACATACTGATATACACCTGAACATCAGCAGGAGAGGACTCTTTAAAGTAGAGACACTACATACTGATATACACCTGAACATCAGCAGGAGAGGACTCTTTAAAGTAGAGACACTACATACTGATATTCACCTGAACATCAGCAGGAGAGGACTCTTTAAAGTAGAGTCACTACATACTGATATACACCTGAACATCAGCAGGAGAGGACTCTTTAAAGTAGAGACACTACATACTGGTATACACCTGAACATCAGCAGGAGAGGACTCTTTAAAGTAGAGTCACTACATACTGATATAAACCTGAAATTGAGCAAAAAATAATATTTTAAGTTGTTGGTGTTAACCTGTGTTTGGCTTGCACTGCCTACTTTGTGTTTCCAGAGGAGAGGAACTACATCTGTGACCAGTGCGGCCAGACCTTCAAACAGAGGAAACACCTCTCAGTTCACCAGATGAGACACTCCGGGGCCAAGCCACTGCAGTGAGTGCTCCTGATGTAGTATGCCACGTGTGTAGCTTATGAACAATTATTTAAAGTATTTTATACAAAAAGAAACATAATCGATTGGGGCAGTTCGGAATATTGCTGAAAATGAGATATGCGTCACATGTTGATGATACCTAACACCACTTTTTAAGGGTATATACAATCTTCAGAAGTATAAAGCTAACGTCATGGTCACATGACCTCACATCACCACTACTAAGCTAAATGCAGCTAATGTTTATCGTGATGACGTTAGCCAACCGCTGTTTTTCTGATACATAGAAGCTTAGAACAACATTTTTAGACTGTGTTAACCACAGACCTTATTTCAGACCGCTAACACTTAAAATGCATACACATTTTGGGGCTTTAAGACTAATTCCTGGACTACTGACCCTGACTGCATTTGGTGAATCATTTAGAAATAATAAATGTGAGTGGTGAAAGGAGGCTTTACATGTTATTATGGTTTACATGTTTTCCCTTCAGATGTGAGGTGTGTGGTTTCCAGTGTCGCCAGCGAGCATCGCTTAAATACCACATGACCAAACACAAGGCGGAGGCGGACCTGGACTTTGCGTGCCTGATGTGCGGGAAGCGCTTCGAGAAGGCCCACAACCTGAACGTCCACATGTCCATGGTGCACCCGCTGATCCAGGCCAAGGTCCAGAGAGGGGGCAGCGAGCAGCCGCCCTACTCTGAGCTGCACGCACTGGCTCTGAGCGGGGAGGGGGGGCAGCAGGAGCAGGACAGATGACAGCAGGCGTGCTGCACCGGGACATAACACCCCCCCCCCCCCCCCCTGATGTTTATCTCTCTTCTCTTCCAATATACAAATGATCATCTAGGTTAAGAGCCAAGCTGTTGTCTGAAACATTAAGTTTCATTTTAGAAGATATAGGATATTTACTGTATTATGGAAAGCTTTAGAGTGTGTAATTATCCTTTTCATTCCAAACTTAAGCTGTTATTCCATTGTCAGCCTCTTCTGACCACATGTTTAGGATTTGTAGCTTTCTTTGGGAATAAACAGGCATCCTGGTGCCTGTCACAGTTCTGGTGCCTGTCACAGTTCTGGTGCCTGTCACAGTTCTGGTGCCTGTCACAGTTCTGGTGCCTGTCACAGTTCTGGTGACTGGAATATATGCATCTGTACACACAGTTTATCTGACAGCAGAAACACAAAGTCGCATATAAACCGTTTGACCGACAGAAATGCAGTCCTTTCCTGCAATAGTTTTGTTAGCTGAAAATATTGTGAAGTACTTGTATGCAGTGTGTATCTTCCTCACACAGGATGACTTCCAATAACTGTTTTATTTTGTCACTGTTTTAAATTAAGTTATTACAATGCTTGAATCTGTATTGAAAACAGTAAAAGGGCTTCAGGTGTTCATGTGTATAATACGTCCTTTGTGCATTTATTATGTATACAAAAATGAATAGGAGAGACGGGGGTTCCTCTGCCTGACGTCAGCGAGCAGCTTCAGAGGAACTCCATCTCTGGGCTGTCGGGGTCCAGCTGCAGAGAGAGAGCTGCTGACACCTCGGGGTCCAACGCTGACACCTGGGACTCCAGCTGCACCAGACAGGAAGGAGAGGGGGGGGCAGGGACGTGTCTTTGTTAGAAAAGTTGGTGGTTTTTACTGCATTAAGCGGCCCCCGCAAATAATACATACATACAGAATACACATATTCTAACAATATTTGACAAAATTGGCCATTACCAGAAGTGGGGGGGACATTTCCCCAGTACAGTGGGTGCAGGCTTGAGGAGTAACGGGATTACGTAATCAGGATACAAAGAAGTTAACTGCATTCCTTTAAAGTTACATAATAAGACGTAATCAGATTACGGTTACATTTCTAGAAGTTGGGGATTACTGACAGGATCGTCCCACAAAGGGACGATCCTGTCAGTAACATTGTTACAGCAAAAGTAAAGAGCCAAACATAGTTTAATATTAATTAAGAAGACATGCATAAAATATTTAAGATAAAAATGGAAATTACAATTTACAAAATACACATCAAGTATCAGTAACGGTATTTAAAAAGTGTAGCATGTACAGTATAAAAAGGGTGTGATAGCAGCCAGGTGATTGTATTAAAAGTAGAAGTATAGTTATTGGCAGTTATTTACAGATTTATTACAGAAGTTGAATTGTCAAACTAAGAGACAGCAGCCAGTAATAATAGTAATAATAAATATGAAGCGGTATATATATATATATATATATTGCACAACAGGGGTGATATATAGTCTGACAATGTTAGTGTTAGTACAAGCTAAAAAAGCTCATGTAGTGTTTGTTTTAAAGGATCAGATATGATCTCTTCTCTTAGAGCTATACGCCTACTGCCTGAATCTGCTTTATGGTTTCACTTTCTTTGGTTCATTTGTTCTGTTTTTAATTCAGCAGGTGAACTATATGGTCATTAAATAGTGTGTGTATTAAACTAAAACGGAGCTCAGACTTTATTTCTGCTTTTTTAAACTGTAGTATGTGCTCATGTGTTTCAGCGTTGGTGTATAGGCTGCTGCCTGAATGTGCTGAATAAAGGCAGCTTTTCCTATCAATAAAATCATTTAGGATCTTATTTTCTAAGGTCACATTGTTCTGTTGTGCACATAATACACTTGAGTCAAATACATCTTATTGAGAGTTTTTCTCTCATTTATTTGCATTGCATTTTAAATTGAGGTAATCTAAAGGTAACAGAGTAATCAGGTTACATTCACTTAGAAACAAGATGTTCTTATACAAGTAACTGGTAATTGTAACGGAATACTTGTTTTATAGTAACCCTCCCAACCCTGACAGAGTGTGTGTGTGTGTGTGTGTGTGTGTGTGTGTGTGTGAGTGAGTGAGTGAGTGTGTGTGTGTGTGTGTGTGTGTGTGTGTGTGTGTGAGAGAGTGTGTGAGTGTGAGTGAGTGAGTGAGTGAGTGAGTGAGTGTGAGTGTGTGTGAGAGTGTGTGGTGTGTGTGTGTGTGTGTGTGTGTGTGTGTGTGTGTGTGAGTGAGTGAGTGAGTGTGTGCGTGTGTGTGTGTGTGTGTGTAACCTCTCTGAGTCGGCTGGTGGACAGAGCTGTCGGGGGTGTCTGTGCGATGGCTCTCAGGAGAAGCTGCTTGCTGTGGCTCACAATCTGAAAAGGCTGACAGTGAAAGGCACACGTTGAACTTCAGAGCAGAGAAGTGACAGGTTTGACTGACAGGATGATACAAAGCATAGTCTGAGAGTCACCTGATGGTCAGCGGGGGGGAGGGTGTGTCCTTCCAGGAAGAGCTGCAGCAGATGGATGTAGCAGAGGACAGCAGTGTGCAGGAAGTGAGGGCCACACACAGCTCTGTGCAGCAGCTCAGCACTCTGCTGGAGCAGCAGGCTGAACACACACACACACACACACACACACACACACACACACACACACACACACACACACACACACACACACACACACACACACACACACACACCACACACACACACACACACACACACACACACACACACACACACACACACACACACACACACACACACACCACACACACACACACACAATTAAACAATACACATTTTGTTAAGTTCATATAATGTAATTATTTAGGTAGAGAACAATTGCCATTAATTCCTCTTCAGGATTCAAACACTGTGTATACATTATACTCTTATATTTTTAATAAAACACAAACACAAAATGTATTTTCTCTATACTAAATGATATAATTGTTTTCAGTATGGGATATGTCAATGATTAGCAACATTGACTTTAATGCATTGCGTGAAACACTGTAGCGATCCAAATGAGAGCATCAATCTGCTAGTGGAAACCAGGAACAGGACCTGGAACCTCAAGGCAAACATGAGAAATGGCGTAAAATGGATGCTCATCTTCAGGTTCATATCAGTTGGTAGTGTCTCTGCTGTGAAAACGCTCTTTGTCTCATACTGCCTGTGCTGCAGCACCTCTGTCTGGGAAACTCCCTCTGGAGGGAACACAGGGATTTGAGCCTTTGCTGAATTAACATTAACATGCACAAAAACAGGAAAGGGAGAACCTCATGTGATAACAGTAAGAAAACTACAAATTTAAAGCTGGGCTTATATCAAAAGCATGGTACATTAGAATGACTTGTCCAGTGCTTTCATGGGTTAAACATTGTGGTTTCAATGTGGAGAAAATCTTCCGGTGGCTCTGAGTGTCTGTACTAATAACTTCAACATTGTATAATGGGAAGTTTTGGGAAGAGTTGAACTTACAAAATTCAGTTATTAAAATCACACCTTTGCCAAAGCTTATCTTAGTATGTGATATGCATTACAAAATTGTAAAAATATTATGAGCCGTATGTGTCCCCAGTGAGGCCTTCTGAGGGAGCCCCAGGTTTGTATCCACAGTCACTCTCAAAACAAAAATAAAGTTTAAAAACTGACCTGTAAAAGGCCCAAGGCATCAGTCGGGTAAACTCATCTGATGTTACCATGGTGATGGACTGGTAAACACCGTGATCTAAAGTTGGGAAAACAACATTTAGCCCACTTATTTAACAATGCATCAATTCACACAAGAAGACACAATCATTTAATGTCAGAGCAAACGTTACATTTAATCTTTCAATAATAAATACCCGGCCTAAACTGTGAATAACATTGTTTGCTCCCATGTGGAGTGTAGTGAGATGTGATTTTAAAGATGGACACTGTACCGTCTGATTTAAAGAGCAGCAGCCAGTCAGCAGAGTCCACTAACACACGCAGCAGCTCTGTGCAGAGGTCTGCTGCTCTCTGACTCCTCTGTTCCTGAAGGAATCATTATAGACACAACATTACAGAGACTCCCTCCTGCTGTGGGAGGAGCAGAAACAGTTGACCTCCATACTGGAGAACATGTCAGCTGATAGTCATCCAACTCTTGGCCAATAAGCGTATTTTCCCAAATGTCACCTTTAACAATAAACCATTGCTTGCCCGGACAGTCCTATTATCAGAGTAATTGGAGTGCAGCAGTAAAGTATGCTCCAATCACTTCATGTCTTTCTGCACTACGTGGTATTTTTAGAGTTTATGTGTAATAATGATGAGGTTCCAGATCAAATATGAATCAATGAATGTTTCCTCTCAGATCTGGTGTGGGGCAGAGCATGTTGCTCATTAGGGTTGATCAACCTGAGCTCTCTAACTGCACATCAATCCACCAGCTTTCCTAAGTCTTACCCCCTACACTGAGTCAGCAGGTGGATACAGGGACAGTGCAGGATCAATATAAGAGCCTTTTTATGAATTACCTCAGGATACAGGAGTGATGACAGATGATCCTTTACACACAGGAAGAGCAGGAAAACTAGAACCTGGACAAATAAATTAAACAGCAGCAGGTCAATATACAAAATGTTGGTGTTTTAATGAAAACAAATACTCCAACATACCGGCTGGGGTCCACTTAGGGCCGATAAAATGACACTGTTATGAAGTTCTTTCCTCTCACCTGTTGGCCCCCCTCTTCTCGCAGCACACGTAGGGCAGCACTGAGGCCCTGGTCGGCCCCCCCACGGCCCTGCCAGGCCCCGTGCAGGCTGGCAGCCAGCAGCAGAGCAGCAGGACCCGGAGGGGGAGGGCCCCTTCTCTAAACTGAACACCACATAGAATACAAAGGCATCTTAACACAAGCCAAGTTTACCACCGAAAATAAAACTAATCATGGGGAGAGGGGCTCCTGGGCAACTATTTTATTAAAATATATGTTTATTATTAATATTATATATTTTCCTATTCCTTTTGTGGATTAAGATATTTCTTATTCTGTCTGTTTATTATTTCCTCCAAGGAGCTTGTGTTTGCGGCTCAGATGGACTTTCTGGATTGCCTCTTTGTATTCTTCTATATTTATTTTCATGAACTCGGAAGAAGGGTAAAGCATGGTGTGGCGGCTCAATCCCCAGATACATTTGAGTCGCCGAGAGGCTAAACTTGGCTTTAAACTGTGACGCGTTTTCGAAAAGAAAGTCCATGTTGAAGCAATATAGTTTTAAGGATATTTAATAAACAAAATCAAAACATAGTAACTATGGACAAAACGCTCAACAGAAAAAATGACAGCACAAGCTCACCTTCTGTCATGTGCACTCGACATCAAACAGGTGACTTATAAACCAAACCACACCCATGTGACGATTACCGGAAGTGCTCAACAAGCAAATAAAGGTGACATAAATAATAATAATAATACAAATAATGAACTTGAGCTAAGTAGTGTTATGGCACCTACAATACCGGCCCCTAATTATCATTTCACAAAATTATAATTACTATAATAAATGACAATACACACAAAATATACGTCCAGATCTCTTTCTTGGATTATTTGTTCAGAGTTCATATGTTGCAGTCTTTTTGGAAAAGTGATCATCTTTTCTCACTAATCAGTATCAATAAAAATGATTAGTGTGGTTTGTGTGTGTGTAGGGGGTAGGGGGTAGGGGGCAGGGGGTAGGGGGTAGGGGGTAGGGGGCAGGGGGTAGGAGACAACAAATAAAATAGGCAAAAATAGTCCATTTAGACTTGGCAAAAGTCCTCTGACTCCTGAAGAAGGAGTCAGGAAGTTTTCGAATTGTTTGTTTTGCTGTGGCGGCCGGGCCCCGCTGGGTTAAGTTTCATACCAGTGAACACTGTCGTGTTACTTGAAATGCTAAGGCACCACACATATTGCATCAAATATGAGTGACACAAACGGTGAAATGGAAAAAAGGGCTGTCAAGCTTACTAGTAAAGCCTTGGCTTGCAAAATCAAACAACTACAAAAAGAATGTCAGTCAAACGTGCAGAAGATTAAAGGACGCACACAGGAAATCAAACATCTAATGAAAAATGATGAAAATGCAAAGGATGTTAGACTCAAACTGGACAAATTAATTCATCAATATGAAAATGCAAAAACAGCACATGAATCAGTTATTATGTTGCTTTCCGAAGACGACCTGGAAATACAAAATAACTGGTTTCAACAAATAACAAAACATAACAATGATTTTATGGAGGATGTACAACAATGGCTCTTGGAAACAGGGAGGAGGCTCTTTCTGCAAACAGGTCATGTGACTGTCAATGAACCAATCGCTGCAAACACAGATATTCCTCTCATTCTACCAGACAAGGCACCCGCCGATGTAAAGGAGCAATTGGAACACACTGAGGCTCAGCAGGACGTTCTCTTTCCCCCGTCAAACATGAAGGCTACATCATGCACACAAGATGATATACAACCTGGTGACAGCATATCAAACATTGGTAGCAGAAAAAGCAGGCAAAGCTCAAGATCAAAAGTTTCCAGCACCGCATCTGCACACATAAAAGCTGAGGCCGAAGTGGCAGCCATGAAAGTACTCCAAAAACTCCTAAAGGACAAACATGTCCTGGAAGCACAGGAGCAGGAGTTGAGGAGGAAAAAGGAGCAAATGGAATTAGAAGGAAACATTGCTGCCACCATTGCAAAAATGAAAGTGTTGGCAGCCCCCAGGGGATCAGCTAATTGTTCTATATCATCCAATGGCATGCAGTCATATTTTGAAACGGGACAAAGGGAAATACAGTTTGTAACA